CATGGACAGGGTTCAAACTATCATGTGACAGGCACAAGTTGAATCCTTATCAAAGCCTGGAGAAGGCTTCTTTCCCAATAACTATCTTGATTGCAGTTTAACCCTTTAACTCCCATGGGTAACCAAGACAGAATTTCTCCTTGCAATATCAATACAATATCAAGCAGGCAAGTGATGAGAATAAAGAAAAATATCAGTTAGAGGATTGTTAGTTGATCCAATACCAAATTCTCAAAACTAACATCACAAGAACTGTATAACGGACAGTAAGGAGAATTACAAAGGAGATCTTGGAGGTTAAAGGGTTGACTGTTGGAATAATTTTGTCACTTGCTTGTAGATCTCTATCTAAGATAGCATAATTTTGGATGAAACTGTTGAATGCTACATTACTTATCCAACAAGGTGTACTTCAAATTCAGTGATATACAACTAGTGAATGGATATTCTGATGTTCAGCCTTAGTAAATTGGGGACACATTTTCAGGCTTAATTTTCAATAGAAACTGTGGTATCTCTCAAATTATTTTTCAATTCATTGCTTTTGGATTTTCAGGCTTCATATCAACTGGTTAAATTGGGTTACCAGGACAACTCTTCAAATGATAAGAAATGTTTTTCATATTTGCATTTGGAAATGAAGGTAAATATTCAGATAGTTGGTTCTGAAAATTATCAATAATTTCTTTCCTTTTTTCAGCAGATGTGCCCCTCTCTTGGATCTTTTAGAACAAGCTTGAAGAGTTAGCAAAAATCACCTCAAAAACCTTCAACCATAAAAACCAAAAAGGCCACAAGGAGTATACCCTGGGGAACTTTGAACGTCATAATACTGAAGTTAAACATTAACCAGATCACAAGTTTGACTCTGAATACTTTGTAATCTTTTCAAGTAACTCAATCAGTTCGTATGAAAATGATTTGCTAGCTATTGTTATTAGTAAGTGACTTACAATGAGCTCATCCTTGTGTTCTGTTCTAGAAGAGAAGATCAAGTGATGACCTGTCACGCACAAAGTTCCTTCCAGATAAGCTAATCCTCTGCGCTTGAGATACACATTGTCAACACGCGGTGATTTGATATACTCCACAAACTCCATCAGTCAGAAATGATCACATCAATAAAAAGCAACATAAATGTTTAAAACATCAAATTTCAAAGTTATCGTGTATTTTCATCGCGTTAATCCGGCTAGTCCGAGCAACCACGCAACGTGAGCCTTCTATCAGCGGATGTACGCATAAATTCAACATGGCGTCAAGGCAAGCGCTCGCACCTAAACTTTATAAGAGGTTTCTGCAAGTTTGCGAGCAATGGCCAGTCGACCAGAATCGGTTAGGAAGGGATCTCGGAGAACATCTGAAAGGGAATCTTGTACCTCGTATAAAGAATTCCCAGATAGACGTAAGCTCTTAGATTTCTTGTTTCATTGATCAATCTGGCCCGGGTGTCTTGCTGTTGTCTTACGTAACCTGCAACTGAACTGCACTGGGGCGCGTTAGATATAATGATTAAAAGAGCGTAACCACGCGATCTCCTCAATGGTTCATTAAATAGATGCAGATTTGTCAAAATAAACTCCTTAGCTTTTCGTTTTATGTGAATATAAGCTTGAATCAAAGTAAGTACTGTCTTCCTAACGTCATTTATGGCCTTTTTTATTTTGTAAACGGTAAATTTTTATTCTTTGATGGTTGTATTTAGAGTATCTAATGCTGAAATTTATCCTTTCAGCCAAAAGAGGCTGAAAAGATGCTGGACAGTCTCTTAAAGATTAGTTCAAACTACTACAGAAATAAGGTTAGTTTAAAGCTGATCATGGTCTAAATTACGTAATTTATGGTCGACGTTACCCTTTAGAGATGATAAATTTTGATCATTCTGAAGTTTGTATAAGTTTTTTTTTTAATTATTGCTTGGCAAATTAATTTCTACTTCACAGTACCCCCGTCAAAAAGAAACAGCATTTACTACAAACAATGTACAGGATTGTAAGGAGGCTGCCTCATATTATCTTTCATCAGGTATTACTTTGTGTCTTACACTGTGTAAATAAAGTGAAGGTTTACTCAGCATATGATACTGTAAGGAGAAATTAAATGTTAGTCTCTCTCTGAGGAGTGAAAGATGTAAATAAATGCAATTTTAACTGAAACCCTCACCATTTCCAAAACTGTTTGTTTACACTACATAACCTATTTTCTCTCCTCCAGATTTTCAGAAGAAATCAAAACAGCAAAGTTGGTGGGAAAGACTGATTCGCAAGAAGCCAACTGCTAGTTAAAACAGTGATCTAGTTGCACTGAGTCCAAGTAGTGAATGGAGGTTGTGACTGGATGACAAAATCATAGGCACGCAGCAGTTTTACTTTTGCCTGCCTCTCAACCAACTAGATACAAAAATGAAACCAATATTTATATTCTCATTCATGTTCTTTCCCTTAAAGCTGTTTACACTTTATTAATTCAATATAAATCTAACTTCAATATTAATCTAAGTTCTCCTTGTCTTCAGATTGGTCTATTTTAGCTTTGGTTTTATGAAACCCAATCAAAAAGTGCCTTTAATGCTCTCCACATAAAGGTTAACCACAGGGGCAGTGCTAGAGTTTATCAAAATCACAGAAGAACCACACTAAATTGAACTCCTCGAGGAAACAAAAAGTGGTTGGAGTAAGCGGTCTGAAAGATTGGGGTCAAAGGAAATTGGATCTTGTTCAAGTTACTGGGGAATTTGAGTTAGCTGGGTTCTTCTGTACCTTCAATCAGCATTTTTTTTTCATTCAATTTAGGCAATAAGAGGGAGCAGAAACTAAGTTAATTAGACACAATGTCCAAGAGCAGTGCTTAGCTAGACTGGAATTCTTCTGAGATTAAAATAAGTTCATTAGCATAAATTTTGACATTTTGTATCTTTTTTTGCTTTCAACCGGAGAATACAGTCATTTGGTAGCTTACCAAAAGGGGAGGTGGGGGAAGTATTTTTTGTCTACTGGTCAAAACATGGTAACAAGCACTAACCTTATGTTTGATATTTAATAACTAATACATTTTCTTGAGATCTTGTTTTAAAAGGTTTGAATTCAGGATCGAAATAAAGTCATTTGAAAATACTACTTTGCCCTTTTTTCCATTTTCTTCATTAACATCTTTCCACATAATCCTTAAATTAAGTGTTATTTTCTGCACTCCTGGCTTTGACCATTTTTTTGTTGCCATGGTTGTCAGGAAAAGCTTTTTCGCATCTAGATTTGCAGCTAAAGTCTCAATCTTGGTGATCATTTTGGCAAGCTGTAGTGTTTCATATTACATACTGATTATGGTATAGAACATACTGATTATGGTATAGAACATTTTGCATCAAATATTATGTATCACTGGGTAAATTGTACTTTCCCATCTTTATTCCCATGAGAGGAGTTAGTTAGATTGTCACATTTTCAGAAAACTGTGGTTGCAAAGTTGATAGTCATCTAGTTAATATGACTTTCCCTGAGTTTTGCTGAGGCCTCAAATATGTTTCTGGCAACACTGTACCTGTACATCTCAAAGAAATTTGAACTCAGAACACCCTTATAGCAAATGATGCATTGAAATGAAGGAAAAACACATAGCACTGAAATTTTAAATAAACATATTTCCCAAAAAATTATACAGTCCATTTGCTAATTAACTAACCAGAACGATGATTGTAAATAGCATGTATAGACCCCTTTCAAAATAGCAGGCATGATCATTATTAAACGCATGTATGCAGATTAGCACTTAAGTGACAATTCAATTGTTTTTAATTGATTCCAAGGCCAGAAATGGGAATTTTTTCAATTGTCAAAGAATAACAATTACACCCACCAGTTACAAAAGAGATCTACAGTTCCAAAGATGGCATTGAAGAACATCATAGCTTATTGAAGCAAAATTCAGTCAGTAAACAAATCAAACTGGCAGTTTATTGCTTTTAAAGTTTAAATTGATTCCAAAGAATCCTTGTAAGCATTGGTGTCTATCTAAATTTACAAGAAATCATGCATGTAGAATTAATATATTCATGAAGGTTCCCGACCAATCAGAACTCACTTAACATCCATTTTCTAAGATATCAACCCTTCCACTCCCAATATCAAAACATCAATTCTCTATACTTTTTGCTATGCATTTCTTTTATCTTATACTCCACAAATTTGGAGTTGAATAGACCAGTACACCCTAAATTGTATTTTTCTTTTCCTCTCACTGCCTTGAAAATGTTTCCACATTGTGTGGAGAAATTCTTTTTCAGCTTTTACAGGAAGTGAAAGGGTTAAATATTATTATACTTCAGTACATGCAACTCAACATGCTGTGTAGTATTGCAAAATTTTTCTGGGAACAACTGGGTATTACATCTCGATAAATATTCTGGCAAGAGTAATCATTACTAATGATTTGAACTAAACTAGGCCTATATGCCTTCTCTTGAAAGTCAGTTCCCTTCAAACAAGAGATAGATTACTCACAAGTCATGTCTTGCATTCAGTGTTAACCATCATAGATAGGTGACACAAAGTCCCCAGATGATGATCTGATGTTAAGAGAGCAGGTAATATTATTATCAACAAAAAGAATAGTTGTTATTCATGTTGAAATTGGTATTGCAAAAATAATACATTCTTATCTATCTCTAATTATTTAACTATTTTATTTACACAAAAAGGGAAAAAAATTCCAAATGTTGTTCCATTAAAGATCTGAGGTGACACTGCTACTGAAAAGTTTCCCATAAAAAAAATCTATGTTGACATTGATAATACAGATTCTTACATCCATACTTTTATTTAAATGGAAGAGCAATTTAATCTAAATTCAAGTGAAAGGTGTCCTGTGCATAAAAAGTTTTCTTTTACTTCTTAAAGGCATTATTAAATGGTTTAGAGTGGAAGCTGAAAATTCCCATTTTATAACAAATATTTGAGCAGGTTGTTTCACTTGAATATAAGCACTGTATTTTTGTAGAGCATGTTTTGTAACTTATGTTGGATTTTTTTCTCATCTTTCACCAAAACGGTGAGGATTCCTCAAATTTTTGCAATTTAAATTGCATCAGCTTGTCTTCCTACATATCTTTTATTAACCCTTGAACTCCCTTGAGTGACCAAAACAGAATTTCTCCTTACTATATCTATACAATACCATGCAGACAAGTGATGAGAATAAAGAAAAATATCAATTATAGGATTACTAAGTAATCCAATGCCAAATTCTCCAAACTAACATAATGAGAATTGTTTGGCAGACAGTAAGGAGAATTACTAATGAGATCTTGGGAGTTAAAGAGTTAATAAAGGTCAATCCCTTAGTGTAAACTAATGAATTTTTCAACAGTCTTAGGAACCACACCAAAATAAGATAATCCAAATTTACGCACAGCTCTGGCAGCAATGCATTTCAACTCCAGTCTGCTCTTAGCAGAAAGAATTCTGCGAGCCTCATCTGTTCCAGCTACATCCATGGCAGTTTTGCCATCACTGTTAACAAGGTCTTCATGAACTCCACCATCCAACAGGGTTTCCACTACATCTCGCAACACTTGTAGACCTCCAGTGCTGGGTTTATAAGTCACTGCCAAATGAAGAGGAGTGTTTCCTCTGTTGTTGACAGAATTTACATATCCACCAGCATTCATGATGAGTTTCATGGTTGCAATGCAAGGAAATTTGCACACATCTCGCACATAATGCTCCTCTGTAGGAGTCTTCGACCATGCAGCTAAATGCAACATTGTATTACCTTCAAGAGTCCTAGGATTCAATCGCAGAAACCTTTCGATGAGATCAAACAGAGCTGAATTTTCAGTTTTACTTGAATCCTGAACTTTGGCAAAGATTGTGAGAAGATACAGAGCACGATAAACTACATTTTCAAGTTCCTCTTTGAGCACTTTAGTTTCGTGTTCCCCTTTAAGATTTTTGGACTGCATTTTTTCAGTGAGTCTTTTATATTCACAGATTGCTCTTTCAAAGACCTCTTCAATGTACTTTTGCTTTGGAAGGCAATTTCTTTGCACCATGTGGCAAAAGAAGTCAGCAAATATCTTGAGATCATCTGTGATTGGTTGATTACAGCGCTGGCCAATCTCCATGGCATGTCCCCACAAACCAATGCAAAGATCAAAATTTCCAGAATCAGCAAAAACAGCTCCACGGTATCTAATTGGAAAGCGAAGTTCTGTGTTGTCAGTACCAAGGATTCTCTCTCTAATAATTAGTCCCTCCATGTGGACGGCATGATCATCACCCTCTAATAGCGCAAGTTCTCCAAGAGTTTGACTCTCTTTTTTCTTCTGGTAAACTTCAAGTGGTTCCATTTTCTTTTTAAGCAACAGTTGTGATGGGTCTTCATACCTCTCTTCCATTCCACGTTTCATGTAACTGAATGCTTTTTCAATGTCATAAACATCAGGCTCATTTGCGATAGTGGCTCCTAGAAGCTCCAACCCTTCAATTCTTTGCTCCTTGGTGCATTCAGGTCTCTCTATAAAGTACTCCACCATTTCAATTTTACAGTCATTACTGGCTAGCAGAAGTGGTGTCAAACGCTGAATATTGGCCAGTTGTGATACTCCAAGAGCTAATAGCTCGTTGGCAATCTCAAAGTGGCCCCTTTCCACCGCATAATGAAGAACAGTGTTACCCTGTTTGTCTTGTAGGTCCATATCAGCTCCTTTCTTGATGAGATAAGTAACAACACTCATGTGGCCATTGTAGCACGCCACCATGAGAGGGGTATTCTCAAAATTATTGCGGGCGTTAACATCGGCGCCGTTCTCAACCAAACAGCTCACAATATCAAGCCGCCCATCATAGGCAGCAGCTCTTAATGGAGTCGAATTTGTCAGTGTTCTTCCATCGACGTCCGCACTTCGATCGATTAACAGTTCCACCACGTCGAGATGTCCAGTAGCCGCCGCGGCCCACAAAGGAGTGCATCCTTCAATCACCTGGTCATCAACCTTGACAGTTCCTCGAGCCTCGATGACTGCTTTGTACCTTAACAGCATCTTCACTGAGTCCAGGTTGCCATTACGTGCGGCAATGATCAGTGGGGTGGTAATTTGGTCGCCATCTTTAGTTTTAGTCTCCAAAGCGCTGCTTCTCTCGGTAAGGTTCATCCGCTGAAGTATGTCACTGAGTAGAATAACAGCGCCATCTCGAGCCGCTTCGTACACCTTTGGTTTTGGGTTGAGCAATTCCCGCCACGACTGACCATCCACTGTCGACATAATCATTCGAAAACTTGGCACACAACAAACATGAGAAACTTCCTGCCACCTCGAAGGAAAAGCGAAAGGAATTCACAGACAGATTTCACTTTGTGGAAGGAGCATTAAAACCTCTTTAAAAAGCATCAATTCGTCTGTTAGAAGAATAAATACTTCAGGATATCTTTAGAAATGACTTGATCTCGTCGATATTTTGCCATGTTGTGATGAGACAAAGGAAAGGCACCCCTCCGCCATTTTCCTTTCTATTGGTGTTCAGTCCTAAACGGCCACTTCCATCAACCGGAAGCCAAGAGATGCTTAAACCGAAAGCGAGGTTTAGCCGACATCTACAGCACCCTCTTGACAATCAGACATTGCGCTTTTTTTCTGCGCGAAGGCGCAACTGAGTGTGTCACTGATGTTCTCACCACACTTACCGCATCGTGCGATCTACTAGGGAACAGACCCACGACGAAGTTTTTTTTTTTAAAACTTACCATCTCTCCTATTATTCCATCTACAAACATTACGCTATCGACACTGCTGATCCTAGCAGTATGCAGGATGCGTGTCAAATAAACTTCGTAATAAACCTCGCTCATTGTGGAGTCTTTATGGCTCAGTGGTAGAGCATCAGAGCGCGGAATCCGAGGGTCTGAGGTTCCATTCCTCATGGAGACTCAGAATTTTTTCTTTGTCCCACGCTCGTGACGAGACGAAAAGCATCTTTCTTTAAAGCAAAATGTTGCTGATGGTGACGTCTTAAAATCGTCTGTCCACCATTAGAAATAAGAAAGAATTAATGATATCGGTGTATAATTTACCTAATAAAACGTAATAGATAGCGAATGGCAAGGCTAATCAAAGTGCAGCATTTGAGCAATATAGGAGATTTTTACCTCCAGTCCGTTCATCATCCATTAACTCACAACAAATTTTACAATCTGGACAGTACTCTCTTGCCGCTTGCATGATCACTTGTATAACAATTGATAGTAACGGATTTGAGAGAAAGAAAAATAGTGGAATGATCGTTATCATTGTTTTGATTGCCGAAAAAGTCTTTTCTCTTCACTAACAAATGAAGCCAGCCCCCACCCCTCCCCAGCCAAGAACAAAATATACCAAAGCAGCAAACACTCCACTGGAGATTGACATATCGACTTTCTAATTTCCCAGAAATGACGCATGCGTATGACACATTACAGTGATTACGATTGTCGCTGCAAGACTCTTATGTAACATAACAAATAGTGACACCCGCACAAAACGGAAAGAGATCTTTCAGAACAGTCACACTCAATGAAGAAACTGAAGATCCATAAAAATAGTAAGCTTTCTGTCAACTCATCCCACGTGCTTTTTGCGGTTAAATTTGTTTACGACTAACAGTTAAAAGTTTTCATTTCTTAACGCCTTCCGGCTAAATATTTTGGCCTTTTTGACTGCCACTCAAGTGTGTTAACGCTTGGTTAGCTAAGTAAATATGCATAATATTAGAAAAGGCAATTGCCTCGTCTTGATTTTGGCCCAAGATTGACTTTTCTGAAGAAAAATTCCACGGAATTAGTGCCTTCGGCCTTCGGCGCTCGAAACTTGCCTCGTCTTGTTCTAAAGTCTGGCTACGGCCCTGTCAATACGCCTAAAACCTGCACTACTGGTACAAATAACGACATTAACAATAAGAGGTACTATCGGGTCACGGACCTCTAATTAGCGAAATTACCCATCAAAACATTCAATCTTAAATGGGGTAAGGAAAACAAAAAAAGCAACGTTTTCTTTTTGATATTTTTCAAAGGCTTTCAAGGATATTTTTGAAGGCTGCCTTTTAAGAATGTATAGGTCATATGCAAATCGGAAAATAAAAGGAAAGAGGTCACGTGACTTTGGAATTTGTTAAATCCCTAATGGCAGAAGTAGAATTTTCAACCTTAAAAGGCGGGAGAATCATTTTCACAGTCTTTGTAGCATACAAGTCTAAAGAAAACTGTGGGGTTAAGGTTTACAAATTTACCCCGTTTGAGAAAACGTGTTTTGTGACGTCACTGAAAAAGCAATGTCACATATTTGAAATCACGAGGAACCCATCTTTTCTACGGAGAAAAATCTATAAATCACTTTGACGTATCGTTGAGAGCATCAAACCAATTAAAAAAGCATTTTACAAACTATGCATATTTAATTAGGTAGCCAAGCCCAAATACACTTGTGTAAAGGTTAACCCCGTTGAGAGCCACCAAAACGGAACGATGATGCAAAGAGGTCTCTGATAGAAACATAAAGAACCCAGAAAATGAAGAATGGAAAACGAAATTTTAAAAAAAATTCAGTTTGAATTAATACCAATTATTCTCCGCCGTGAAGAAAAGAATTTATAACAGGAGTTGGAACAAGGCTATGACCTAAAACAAAAATAATATTTCTAATCATTTGCATATATTACCAAAATAAATCAGTCTCTCCAAAAGCTTTTTGAAAACTAGAGGTACCGTAGGTCTCTCATCAAATGGTGAATGGAGTATCTGCAGATCGGGTGAATAAAGTTTATGAAGTTGCTCGCGACGGAAGAAGTGATCTCCCTGATCCTCTACGGCGGCTGAACACATGAAAGAAAAATCGCACTGCAAACAAATCACAAGGAAAGCGACCAAAACACAACTCCTTTAATCATTGCTGCCCTAAGAGGGAACCAAGATTTTGTAAAAAACACTTTTAACCTAAAAAGCAAACATCGGAAGGGTAGGAACCGGTTCGACTCCTTTAAGGGGTGCCGTGTGTGATGGACGGATTGACATTATAAATTATTTGGTTGAGAAGGGAGCAGATGTTAACGCAAGGAAGAATGATGATAACACATGATTTCGTGGAATGTTTTCTCAAGCACGGCGCAAATGTGAATTTCCAAGACAAGGACGACTATACAGCCCTTCACTCGGCCACGAGATGGGGTTACACTGCAATTTTCGATAAATTCCTAAGTCATAAGGGGTTGCAGCCTCAAAATAACCACGTCTAACGGGAAGAAATCATTGTAAAATCGAATTGGTTTAGTATTTTATCAACCGACTGAAGTGTTCAAAGGAAGAAAGATATAATGCTCTTGAACTTCTTGATGCCGCCGTTGCCAATGACCTTGATACTAAAGACACTAATAAGGCATTCTGGTACATAAAATGTTGAATGAATGAAAGATTTCGAGATATTTCATTCCCTTTGCTAAAAAGGGAAATGGAACTCTTACTAGCTTACGAGAATAGAAAAGAGAGTCGAACCCCTAAAGAACTTGCTCTGTTAAATGATAATGGACATGCTATACAAATGGAGGGGCTTATAATGAGAGAGAGAATCCTTGAAAATGGCACCAAGGAACTTTGCTATCTTTTAAAATACCGTGAGGCTTTTTTCGCCGATCATGGGAAGTATGACGTCTGCATTGGTTTGTGGACACGAGCGATGGAAATGGCTATGTTGTGCGATGATTCGATTACAAAAGACCTTGAACGTTTTGTAAACGTATTCGGAGAAATGGCGCACAAAGCTCGAAACTCAAGCTTGCAATGTATGGAGGTAATCTTCAAAAAACTGGTTACCGCAAGTGAAAGACTAAAGGAAAAATAGGAGTTCTCAAATTAACATAGAAAACAAAACGAAGAACAAGAGCTCATACTACACTATGCGCTTTATATTTTATTGATATTTGTCGAAGTCCACCTTCCAGTGAAGAGAAAAAACACGAAAATTATATATTTAATAGAGTGACTATCAGACTTGCGATGGCAATACCCTTTTTCACTTGGCTGCATGGTACAAGACCCAAATATGTGACGACTTCCAAGGAAGATTGCGAAGAGTATGCAGTTTATCATGTGTTAAGACCGTGAAGCTTATCATCGATTCTGGCGGACTTGTCAATGATGTGAATGACGAAACAAATACCCCTCTGCACTTAGCAACGAGTTATAGACCCAGCCCTGATGGCCTGCGTGTGTTACGAGCGGTTTTGGAGGCCCTGTTGAATGGAGGAGCTTATGCAGATATGGTTAACAAAAATAGGAAAACAGCCATGGATGTGGCTGAAACAGATAGAGTTAAATTTAAAATGTATCGCCGCCAAAGCTGTGCGAAAATTTGGCTTGTCACATGTTGGCTTAATTCCTAAAGATGTTGAAAACTTAATTATTTCCCACTGAAAGAAACAATGATCGAGGAACTTCTTCCTTGCTCACATAGGTATTCATATGCCTTGACCCATTGTCCAGAGACAGGTATTCATGATGAGAATAGCGCTTGTACTACTGCATAAGTAATAGTAAGGGCAAAGCTTTGCACAGCCGTCTCGTAGACACTTGGAAGAGCAACTGTCACATCAACATATTTTTATATATGTTTTTGTTAAGTTAGCAAATTTATTTAGAGCACATAGCGTCCTCTGTCAGAGGTACTGTTTTTTTAAGTGACGTATTTTCCTCAAATCAGAAACAGCGATATTTTCTTTTGTTATTAATCGACTTGCCTTGAACTGTTCTTCCAAATTGAATTTGACGTTTGTTTGCTATTGTGGTGGAACTCCCTCGTAAAGAGAGAAAGATTGCAAAGCGTGATCAATTCTAAATCGTCTGTAATTCGAGATCGGGAGTGAAAGTTCACAAACTGAAGCTACGAAATCCACAGCAACAGGTCTCGTTAACAATACACTTAGATCTAAGACTGACCTTAAGTAGATGCAAAATTTAAATGATTTAGTACCACTGACTTCTTAATCTTATTTGAGATCAATTGCATTCCTTCATTTATCCTTTCTCCTCTTTTGTTATTCAAAGACACTGATGATGTCATAGCCAACATACCAAACTCTCCAAATGACCCTGAACATAATGACATTCAAAAAGCATTTTGTTACTTAAAACGTGGAATGGAGGAGAGTTTTTAAGACGGGTTGCATCCATTACTTAAAGGACAAATGGGCCCTCTTGAAGTTTACGAAAATAGAATAGAAAGTCAAACCCTTGAGGAACTCGTTCTGTGAAAAGGCGATGATCATGCCATACACATGGAGGGAATAATGATCACAGAGGGAATTCTTGGCACCGACAACACAATGCTGTGCTTTCCACACAGGATGAAAGGATGAAATAAGACGTCATTTCACTTTTGAATGATATAGAGTACTAAAAATGGGATTCATGGCCGCAGTGACCTGAAAATATGGTGTTTGAAACAAACTAAACGGTGACTTGTATCATTACAACTGAGCACAAATTCACGTAGACTTAGATTTTTAACAGCTATTCGCAGAGGTGGAAGTGGTAAAGCGGCAAGGTAAATATCCACCGTGAGCACTGACATTGCCGGTAAATAGTCGTTTTAGAATTATACTTAAATAGTGAGATAATATAACACAAAAAGATGATTACAACTCATTTATTCCTGCAATAACTACAACATTTTTGGCCGCAAATCCCGCGCACGTTGCTTGGAGGTGAATAGCAAAGGATACTCGGTGTCTGAGTAGCCAATCGGAGCGTGTCTTCAACCCTTGCCCCTGTTTGAAAGACAAGTAGCCAATTATGAGCAAACTTCTATAAATATGTACCTAAATATTCCGTTAGTAAGTTTTTTTTATAGATTTTGCGTGTAACTAATAGCTGTTTTTGGCCTCCTTTAATCCGAACTGAACCAGTTGTACAATTTGTTACAGTCATTGAGATAGGCGGATTATTTTTGTGAATCACTGAAATCGATTAAACGATTTGACGAACCTCAAGCCTATTGTTAGCATGATGTCGACTCTACTAAACATCAACTTGTTACGATCCCATGTTACCAGTAAATCGTGCATTCTTTTGTCTCAACAAAACCTGTCAGTAGTTGCTGGTTAAGCAAAACAAGAAAAAAAAGACACGCGCTGAGCATCACGGGCACTTTTTGGCGACAGCCTCGACATCGTCCCTCACGAAAATACACATATTACAGTATATTACAGTTAAGGTGGAACGAAAAAGTTTCGTAACCATTTACATTTATCAATTCTTCCGAGTCCATAGTGAAGAGCTAAGCAAACTGCATGAGATTCATTTTGTCTTAGATCATCAGTGCTTGTCAGCTATTCTTATTAAAAGATCAAGAGAGAACAGTTCGGTCGGGTTATTACCTTAGTTTTTAACGAATAAACACTGCGAAGACATCTGCGATGCCAACGTCTACTGAGAAGAAAACAATAAAAACCGAGTTAGATTATTCTTCTAGGAATCGACTCAAATATCATAATCGGACACGACTCTTTGCTGCCGAGCGAAAGCATGTAAAAATTTTTTATTAAACCTTTCGTCGCAGCAAGAACGAGAAAACAAAAAAACAGAAACAAACAAAAGAAACTGAGAAAATAACAATGTTATGCCTATTTTTCTTACCAAAGTCATTGAGGTCAACGTGAGTTCGAAGTTTACTATACATGACAGTAGTTTTTGGAAAGCGGTTCTCCCAATCACAATCCATACCAGTTATTACGAGCCATCCAGCATCTTTACTGCATCCTCCATAATTCCTGAAGATAGAAAACGCTCTTCCACAACACACATTCACATCGAAAACGTTTGTTTTTTCAGTTCTTAGGTCAGTCCAGGGAACATAAGTAATCCGATCCTTAGAAAACCAGTTTTCGCTATCGGAATTACTGGCGTCAAACACCATGGATAAAATTTCAGATCCATCTTTGTACAATGAAACACGCACCTGAGAAAGGAAAACATACATTTTCTAGATCCTTAACGATTAAAATCTGACCATGAGATACGATGATCCTGGCAGAGATAGAAAAATTGTTACTTGTCAATGCAACCAGCTATAGGAGGCGGCGAGGCCGAGTATTTAGGGTGCTGGACTTGAAATCTGACCCCAGGTTCAAGTCCTCCACTCTACCATTCACTGGATTTATTCTCGGTCGCCCCGAGTTCAATATCCCGGCTGCGCTGTGTAAATAGCCAACTGGTCTGCCTCCTACCAGTTGGGAATTTCAAGCACTTTATGTTTATTTCAGTCATTGTAAAGCGCGATAAGATAGAGATAGAAATAGCCCCATATAAATGAGGTATTATCAATATTAACTAGAAGGACATTGTTGTGGGGCAATTGATAAGCAAGTTACGATCAATTAATCATACCTCCTTAGGATTCACAGCATTCCAGTTATTTACCAGGCGGTTCTTGTAATGCCCCTTAAGAGACGCGTTGACATTTAGTGCCTCTGTTTTGTATTCGTTAAAGGAGTTCGCTGATGACCACAATCTGTAAATGTCCGACACCACACCAGACACTACCTTGAATACCATGGTCCATCCTGTTGAAGGATAGAACATTTGTTTTCTTATACTGCATGTGTTTAAATCTACGAGGTAATGTTTCCCTTACATAGCTCTTATTTCTGTTTAGATGATGTTTTTGATTAAACTATAGTTTTTATACTCTTATCAATTTTGAATGAAGCGATTAAGGAAAGCCACCGTCATTAATCTCCTTTTTTGCGGTGAGCTTCTTAAAATACTGTCTTTTCATCTACCTTTTGTAAAGTTCATGAATTAAAGAGGAAGTAATCACAAATCTCTTGTTGATTGTTGGTGAATAAACTAAAAGAATAAATGTGTTGCTATCTGTGCTCTGCATATAACTAATTACCTGCTCCCTTGCTTGATTGTTGGTCGCAGTACACCCTCAAAAACTCGGACTGGTTGAGTCTGATTAAGTTAACTCCGCTCTCCTCATGCCCAGCCTTGAATAACTCATCACACCTTCGGTAAACTGCTCAAGGACATACAACAACGTTTCAAAATCAAATATGCTGGCAAATTGACATTTGTTCTGCATATGTTAGGATTTACGTTAGTTGAACAGCTAGGCTTTTCAGTAACTGGAAGTATTTATTTCACGAGAAACTAAGATCTCCTTCCTCGTAATACTTACGCCTGACATAAAATAGCTCAATTATTACGCTGTAATGAAGTTACACCATCTTGTCATCTAACATAGACCCTAAAATACACTTAAACCTTCATCGAGGACGTTAGAGCAACGTGAGGTAGTACATTTTGGTATGGTCACTTGACTTCTAGAATTTTCCAGAACAAGAGAATATCAACTTAATGTTCTCTTGATCTGAATGAAAAGACTTGAGGTGCATGCTGATTTCAAAAGAAGTTTGTAGAGCGAAAACTTCTACAAGAGAATGATGAATGTCCAATCATGCCTCAAAACAATTTCCTGTTCTAATTTTTTTCTCTATTCATCCGTTTCCTGAAGCTTAGATTGTGCCTGTGTTCTTCACTGATAAATCAGCCTTAACTTCGTTCAAGGATAAAGGCTACTCTGTTTCAAACTTAAAAGTCAAAGATTGTTTGTAAATAGAATAAAGGAGATGGTAAGTTTTGAACTCGGTAAAGAAAAAGCGGAAAATGTTTTTCGTCTTGTCACGAGCGTGGCCCGCGGAATCCGAAGGTTTGAAGTTCGATTAGTCAAAGGGATTCAAAATTTTTTCTTTGTCCCACGCTCGTGACAAGACGAAAAGCATCTTCCTCTATTTCTTTACCGAGCACAAAACTTACCATCTCCCTTAATCTATCTATAAACATGACGCTATCGACATTGCTGATCCTAGCAGTATGCAGGGCGCGTGTCATATGAACTTCGTAATATATCTCGCTCACTGTAGAGTCTCTGTGGCTCAACGGTAGAGTATCGGAGCGCGGAATCCGAAGGTCTGAGGTTCGATTCCTCATGGAGACTTAGAATTTTTTTCTTTGTCATTTTTCGCTGTCAAAGATAGTTGTCGCAGCTTTAAATGTGTATGTAGTTGAACCTGAGACAAGCAACTATGATGTGTTAATTAGAGGTTGAGATAGCACTGTATCAATATCAAGGTTAGTATGGGCCCATAGTGTCTCAGGCTTATAATATTTTTGATCAACAACCTTTTAGATACACCATATTATCTGTTGATCAAAGAACAATTTTTCAGTGAAGAACACGGCATTTTTTCATAAGGTTAGCAAATCTTTTTTTTTCTTACCTGTTACGTTAACTCCACAATTGTCTCCGGTCCACGGTAGTTTACAGGAGCATGTAAATCTTTGTATCTTTTCATCAAACAGGCATGACCCACCATTAAGGCAGCCAGTCAGCGCACAATCCTATCACACAGAGATAAAACGCCCCGAAATAGATTATTTATAGAAAAAAATATAATAATATTCCTTTTTCTGAAAGCACGGGTGTGTAAATTTAAGTCAAACATACAACATTTGATCTTTGACAAGCTTTCTTGAGAGTGTTTGAGTTTAGAAAGACTCAATTTTAGCCTCTGCAGAGAAAAGGAAAAAGCTCGCGTTCTTCTCTAAGTACAGAAAAGCTCTGATTGATAAATGAACGAACAGACAAACAAATTAATTAATCTAAGGAAGAAGAGACACCTCAATGATCACGTGGTGACTTTGAGCCTAAATGGCGCTGAGATTTGGCGAGAAATTAAAACTATTGCAAAATTCGCTAGCATAACTCGGTGGGCTTATTTGCTTTAATATGTAACTGAGCCTTTCAAACTATTCGAATAAAGAGGATAAGTCTGTAAGGAAACATAAAGGACAACAAGTCCGCTTTACAGTCTTTTTGATCCTCAATCAAATGAACATCAAAGCTTCGTTGACATACTATACTGCTGTTTCTCATAAAAGAAATAAGCCTGTTTCGAATAAGCACCCTCTCTTCAGGTAACAAAAGCAAATAAGCGCCCCGGGCGCTAAATCGAATCATTATGGTATTCATACTTCTGCTTTTCACGTTTGAAGCAAGAGAATATTGATATGCAAATATGACATTTTAGTACAAGGCAAACATTCGGCCTCATGTTATAGACTAAGCTGTCAAACTAAGCTCCTATGTATTCCATTCTGGTCTGTTGCACATAATCATTTCGTTCCACTAACTGGGTGAGTGGCAGGACAGTTAAACTTTTCCCTCTGGTGAATTTGCTGTCACAAACAATTTCGCTCAAACAACTGACAAATAAGCACCTATAATTTTAGCGGGCTTTCGTGGATAGTGTCCTCCGCCACAAGCCCATGATGTGTAAATCTGCCTTTCTAGCTGGAGTCAGTGCAAATCGATAAAACGTCAATTTGAATCATGTCATAATGAAAACCTTTTTTCTTTTATTAGCATATTGTGGTTGGCTTGTCGTATTTTTTAAGGAGTGATCGAGGTTATTGAACTGGTAAAACTCCTTCAAGGTCTACTTTTGTTAAAAAGGCAAAATTGGCATCTAGCAAAATTTCATTATAGGTGATTTTTGACTTATTTGAACGTGAAAATAAATGGAAATAACATATTTACATAAGCCATTCAGTAGACATTATAATAAGCCAGTTGATCATTTCTTATTCCTTTTGGCAGTCTTATCTTACAGGTAGGGTTTGGTTACCTTTTCCTTGTTATGATCTTGAA